TCATACCAGAAAGTCCCTCCAGCCGAACAGCCTTTTCATACCTACACGGAAACAAAACATCAGTAAACAGCAGCAGATAAATTACGGCACAAGAAACTTTCTCAACAGCTCAAGAAGCAACACCACTATACTTACAGAGTGCTTCATCCTCCTGTTTATCAAGCCGAACCACCCAATGCCTCGGGCCATAGAGAGCCACCACCAGCCCTGAAACACAAGACAAAATATTACACCCAGACACATTTCCACACATACCCATTCATATATCAGAGGAAGGATTTCTACCAGGAGGCTGTCTGATGGCCATGTCCCTCCCCGAGTTAACAGCCTCAGGATATCGCATTATTCCCTGAAAAAAAAAAATAAACCTCATCAGTACACTACATTCAATAAATTACCACACGGGAAACTGTCTCAACACCATTCTGTACTTACTGAGTGCTTCCTCGCTCTGTTCATCAAATTATACCCTCCCGTCCATGCCTTGGGCCATCGAGAGCCTCCACCAGCCCTGAAACAAAAGCCAAAATATTACACCTGGATACATCTCCACACACACACATTCATGTATCAGAGGAAGGATTCTTACCAGGAGGCTCTGATGGCCCTTGTCCCTCCCTGAGTTAATAGCCTCAGGGAAGGACATCGCATTATTCCCTGGGAAAAATACAAAACCTCATCAGTACACTACAGGCGATAAATTACGACACGGGAAACTTTCTCAGCACCATTCTGTACTTACTGAGCGCTTCCTCATTCTGTTCATCAAAGTGTCCTACTCTACCTTGGGCCCTAGAGAGCCTCCACCAGCCCTAAAACAAAAGACAAATTAATACATCTAGACACATTTCCACACATACCCATTCATAGATCAAAGGAAGGATTGCTACCAGGAGGCTCTCTGATGGGCCCTCCAGGACTCCATGGCATGCTCTATTGGATGTTGCTAGCAAGAGGAGGGCCCCCACACGCCCTGAAGTCAAACAGAATGTAACAGTTAAGAGCACTACACAGGTATTTTAACACCTCGATCCTAAAAATCATGAGGAATTCTTACGACAGGGCCCTCCAGGGATGCCTCTCTCTCCCCGAGTTCCCAAGTGCAGCCACGTACAGCCTCGGGGAGAGACTTTCCATCACCTCCTGCATTGATCTGCAACGCCAGGAAAACAGTTTCATCAGACAGACAGCGAAGGTAACAGGAAAATAGTGGCGGCCTTCAGCTCCGAGCAGCAGCAGCAGAGGTTAGGCCGCATAGCAGTGGTTCCCTCTGAGGTTAGGATGCCCATACACTGCCCGACGATCCGTGCGGATAATTACCCGAGGGCAATGCAAGAGGGTACTACAAGAGGTAAGTGTTTCAAGTGGGCGATTGGAAGGCCTTGATTCGAACAAATAAAACACCTCTCAAAAAGCATGGCTCCGTGTTCGAAAACCACGTTGCGTGCGTCAACTACACAGCAGACGTTTGCTCAGACCCGAAGGAGAAAACGTTAAACAGAGAACAGCGGATCGGTACTCACTTGCGCATTATTCTTTACGCCTTCAGAAGTGCACGAATCTTCCTCAGATGGGGTGATTGCGAATGAATCACGGATCATTACGACGACGATAAATAAATAAGCTTGCCACTTCTTCTTCCTTCCTCCTTCTTCGCGCCTCGATGGCTTTGGAATGTCAATGTAAACAACTATATAAAGAGAGTATCGAAATATCGTATGGCAAAGTCGAGAGTCCCCGACCCCAGGCCGAGCCGGGCCTGCCGAGCCGAGCCGAACGGATCCGAGAGTCGCGGCGCACCACAGCCGCTCGACGGCGTGGCGCGAACCAAGCCTTATTCAAATATAAGTTAATTTACTTAAGTTAGTGAAATAGCGTAAGTTATTTCACTTACCCTTTTCCAGGCCCGGAACTGCAGTTAGCCACCTCGTTTGCCCTCCTGATGGTATCTGTACCTGTCTTAGCTCTTATTTCAACAACTGCCACTAAATGAAATAACATAATGTAACTAACTACTTTACTTATTTTATTTACTAAAATAGATTATTTCACTTCGGACAAACGGGCTTCGGACAAACGGGCTCACCTCGACCAAACTATTACATTCAAATACATATTGCGATTTTACATTCGATATGAAAAATTAAAATTCTACTTTTCGATGAAAACACACTAACTCTCCCTTGTAGCACGTGGAACGTTACGTACTACTTTCATCAGCAGTGCTTGATTACAAACAGTTTGCTATTCCAACCTAATTTACACCCGACTTCTATCGATATTTATATTTTTTAAGTTCAAAATGTAATATTTAAATAACAAAAATCTACTTTTCGATGAAAAGACACTAACACTCCCTTGTAGCACAAACCAAACAACAATAAAAACATGAAGCAGATGATAACACTACCTTCAATCCAACATTGTTTTTGATCGAGTTTTACTGTGACATGAATGACAATAAAAATAATTTTCAGCTTCTTTATTTCACATTAAGAAAACTTTCTTCTCAACAAATAATAAAACAGGTACAATGATCAAAACAAAGACAATTTAAGTATTAGTATCCAAAGGTAGATTTCCAAAAATTCAACATAACCTGTACAACTGAGGCTCACAGAAAGATCAGTAAACAACTAACAAATAAAATTAACATAACATAAAATTTATGAACTAAAATAGAACAATTAAATTATTTTGAAGTAAACCAAAAAAAACAGGGAGAACTATTGACTTAAAATTTTTATGATGTTTTCTTTTTTCCTTGTCCTCCATTTTTAGCCATATTTGGTATATTATAAAATTAATCTTGTAATGTTATTCCAATAGCAGTTAAAGCTAAAGGACAAAGAATACATCAATGTAAGTAATACAAGTAAAATAAAACTCATAATTTTATTATTTAGCAAAAAACGTACCAGCAAAATCAATTTCAGCTTGGACTTCAGGAGGAATTTGATTACGGCTGATGAATGATGAATGAGAAAATTTCTCTTCAGTTTCAGGACCTAAAATTAAATAAAAATAAATTTAGACGACACATCAATCATTATACATATAAAATAATTTACTACTTAAAATTAAACTTACTGAATGGAAGAAACAAAGTACTCAATCCATTTCTTCGTTTTATATTTACAGCAAAGGGATTCAACCCTGAAGCAACTAATTCCATCAACTGTTCACATGCATGCAATTGCAAAACTCTAGCATGATCAGCATTATTGAGGAAAAAAAAAATTCTTGATTTGAATGGAATACTGTAACCTGATGTGTTGGACCATTGACAGTTGATGTCACTTTGATTTCACGTATTTTCATTGGAACAAATAATGAAAGTTCTGTGTTTTTCTTATATGCAGGCTTTTTAGCCGCAGCTCCACTATTGTAAGCAGAAAAGAAATCCATTAAGAAACAAAATGAAATGAATTGAACTAAAACTTGAAATGACAAAGACTGCTTCAACCACAATTATTGATAACAAGTGTAATGTCATAGCAACACTTAAACAAAAACTCAAAATAAAAATTTTATATTTTCAATTAAACCATTCATAAACAAATTTAAAAGAATAAATAATTTATTATTAAAACAGTACGAAAATAAAAATTATAAATTGTAAGTGTACACCCATCGTTGCAGTAAATTCAATCTTAAAGTAACACACTTCATTTAAATAGTTCCACATTCTTCAGTTTTCAAATTACACATTAGCATTCACATTCATTTTGCAAATATTTTGAATGATGGAATACTTCAAAAAATTTGTGACAAGGACTACCGCCATCCAGCTGTTTTATTTGTTTAGTTTTAGTCCAATGACTAAGTGAGTTAGAAATGTATGTTTGTAACTTTAAAAAACTGGTTGTAAAGTATATGTGTGTTGCAAATCAAGTGTTCTCAGTGAATACTCATGTAAGGATTGAACAATGGTGAAGGATAAAAACAATCACTTGTTTACACTGGGCTGGCCAAACTCAGAGTGACTGAGTGGCAAGAGGGTTTATTGATTATGCACAGGATAACGCTGGTGTTGCAGACAAGTGAATATAGAAGTCAGTCTATTGGCTGGTGAATGTACATGGTGGAGATATTTGAATATATACATAGATAGAGATGGAAGCATTAATTATTTACAACATCTTCCTTTAATGCGGAATCTCAAAGACAATTAACAATTTAACAGCTGAACTTCACACCAAAAATTACAAACAACTCTCAACCACGCAATTTTAAAAAGAAAAATAAGCCACAGCAAATACCCTCTCCATTTGGCTAGGGAACAGGGAAAACCCAGTGGGTACAAAAACCTGTTCCAGAGTAGTATTGATTAACTAAAATAAATACATATTAAATAACAATAAAAAAAATACGTATTTTACAATATATACACCATGATTTAGTACTGAAGATCCACCAAGCAATTACAATGCACCTGTATCTACATGGAAAACAAGTTTAAATTTTTGCATCCTATTATATGTGTAGTACAATGCAAAGCCTTGGTAAAAATGTCAGCAGGATTCTTTGCAGACTTGACTTAGGTCAAACATATAGATTTATCTTTGATGCAATCTATGAAAAGTTGAACTTTGGATCCATAATGTTTTAATCTAGCTGTGTAATAATTGTCTGATTCTGACAGACAAATCACTCAAGCATTATCACAAAACATTTGGATCATTTGCCTGCCATGGTTGAATAATTTGTCAATGAATACATTTAAATAAAAAGACTTTTTAACTGCTTCACCCAATGCCAAAGTTTTGGACTCAGTTGTCGACTGGGCAGCAGTCCTCTGCTGTCTACTCTCCCACAATATGAAATTTCCATCGAGGGTAAAGCAGTATCCAGTGTAAGATTTGTAGTCTGTTGGATTTCCTGCCCAGTCTGCATCCGAGTACCCAACAATTGGGAGAGATGGATTGCTGCACCTTTTGAAATTCAGATCCAATTTCAAATGCTGTTTTAAGAAACTTAATACATTTTTAGCTAGTTCCCAGTGAGTACTAGTGCAGCAACAATCGAACTGACTGAGAAAGCTCACAGCATAAGCAATATCTGACCTTGTATTTGTACTAAGATACAGGAGACTGTCAATGAGCTGCTGATAATCAAATTTCCTTTGCTATCCTTGCTCAAGATTAAACATTTTTAACTTAAACTCCAAAGACACTTTCTTTCCTTTGCACCGGTCCATGCTAAATCTTTTCATCATTATAGAAATGGTAAAAATCATCAACATAAAGGGCAAAGTAATGCCACATGGGCTCTTACACATAGATCCTACTTAATTAATCCTTAATTACCACTTTCTTTTTTAATTTTTTTTCTAACGAAGTTAAAAAGTATATATAGTTCAAAGAACCCATGACAACACAAGGAAAACAGAGCTACAACTGGCATCCCTACTATTAAATATGCCTATGCCATTGCGTTGTCATTTGCATTTCTATTACAAGTGTTTAAGCAGATGTTGAACATAAAAGATTAAACAGCGACTAGTGTTTATGCAACACAGAGTCCATTACGCGTGGCGCCTCAACACAACAACCACTACATTGTACAATTACAGATGGAATAAACAATATGTTCAAGTAGCAGTTAGTATACATCCGACAGAGAGACGCCCGGGGTCCATTACGCGTGGCGCCTCAGTATACCAACCGCTATGTTCTTTACATCTTCAACCGCACAATACTTGCAGGAAATAGCTCACTACAAAACAGTCTCTTGCAACTTCAGTGTTAGCCAGGCATGTCACCACTCTCAAGGAGGTTGCCGTGGAAGTCCTTGAACCACACAAGGTTTACGAGATACAGGACATGTCAGCAACGTGTCTCCAGCTAGCTGGCCACCCCAAACTCAGCTCCTTGGCGTGTCCGGTGCGGTTAGTATACATCCAACAGAGAGGCGCCCGGGGTCCGTTACGCGTGACGCCTCAGTATACCAACCGCTATCTCCTCCACATCTTACACCGCACAATACTGGCGGTCAACAACTCAGCACAGAGGCGCCCGGGGTCCGTTACGCGTGGCGCCTCAAAACACCAGCTGGTACATTGAACAATTGAAGAACTGCCTCCGTAGCACCCGCGTTTTGCTTTATGTGTTGGGAGCAAGTTCCAAAGATACGGGACCACGTCAACAGCCGCCAAGGAAACGCCGCCCATGACAACAAGAAGACATGGTTCATCACCCGTTAGTACTGACAATCCTTATCGTTGTGGTCTTACTATACAGCTGAAGTCTATTGGTAGGTTCTAGTTACAGTGATGCAACACTTAAAGCCTTGTAGCAACTAGTGTCCATGCAGTACAGATGCTAGACAGAGCTGCAATTTCTACATCAAACCCATAAACAGGTCAGAATGGTACGACCACCCTGGAGGACACAACGCCGCCCAGCTAGCTGGCCACCCCAAACTCAGCTCCTTGGCGTGTCAAGTGCGGTTAGTATACATCCAACAGAGAGGCGTCCGGGGTCCGTTACGCGTGACGCCTCAGTATACCAACCGCTATCTCCTCCACATCTTACACCACACAATACTGGCGGTGGCGGTCAACAACTCAGTACAAAACAGTTCTTGAGAAGATCGAATACCAGCCAGTGTCCATGCAGCACAGAGGCGCCCGGGGTCCGTTACACGTGGCGCCTCAAAACACCAGCTGGTACATTGAACAATTGAAGAACTGCCTCCGTACCATTTGGACCAAGTTCCAAAGATACGGGACCACGTCAACATCCGCCAGGGAAACGCCGCCCATGACAACATGAAGACATGGTTCATCACCCGTTAGTACTGACAATCCTTATCCTCGTCGTCTTAGTATACAGGTGAAGTCTATTGGTAGGTTCTAGTTGCAGTAATGCAACACTTAAAGCCTTGTAGTGACT